AAACGTCAGCCTTCCTGCTCCTATGATGCTGCTTGGCCTGCTGTGTTCATCCAGTTCTACACCTTGTTATCTTAAATATGTTTTTGTTTCTGATTTACAACATCTGCTGTTCTTTCAGTTTTTATTTAGGTTACAGTGCATACCAGTTTCCACATGTTGATGGTTATATGCACACAAAACACAGACACCACTGAGAAATTCTTGTCCCCAACATAAAACAACAGTTTGAGCAGAGTGAAGCAAATGAATAGCAGAATTTAAGATCAAAGATCGAAATTACTTCACAGCTAAATAAAAAGAACAACATTGCAACATTTATTATTAAGCAAGAAAACATGAAAAACAATTTTTACACATCAAACCCTGATAACCAGCAAATTGGATCAACAAATAACCAATTAATTTGCTTTCGATGATATTGATTGAGAGAGAAATGAATCCAAGTGCAACTTTGAAAAGAGTGCTGATAGTTGGGTGAGGAAGGAAATTCCAGTCTCTTTCAAAAAGGTCAATTCTTTTTGTAATTCATATTTAATATTTAACTTTAATTTACTGTTTAAATTTAAAATTTCGCCCAGGCTTAAACAGGGAACATTCAAGCTGTCTACTTGAGAACAGCTGACGTCAGTTCATTAAGCAAACTATCTCAAACTGTTGTTTCTATACCTGGGGTTGAACTAACTCTTTGGAAGCATCTCAGTGCGAGTTAGGACACAGAGAAAATTTGAATAGAGTGTTGTGGTTAAGAAAGGAGATTCTTGGTCTCTATTGCAAAATCTAATTTTGTTTTCCTGTCACATTTAATATTTAACTGGAATTTAGTGTTCAGATTCTAAATTTCATCCAGGCTTAAGCTCCCCATGTACAAGCTCCCTACCTGAGAGCAACTGAAGTTATTTAACTAAATAAACCAAGCTTAAACTGATTTTCTATAACAGAGCTGAGGAAGCTCTTTAGTTTCAGATATATAAATAGAGGAATCTCAGCTGAGAGTTGGGTGAGTAAAGGAGTTAGTGGAAAAGGGGGAGGAAGTGCTACCTTGCTTCTTCTACCTTATTCACCTGTCAGTACTGGTTAATATTCTACAACAGAGCTGTTTGGTGAGCATCTGGTTAGAAGTTAAAGCCCATTTTATATTTAAGGACAAACACTGCCATGCAATATTGAGGGGATGCCAGATGTTTACTGTTTCCCATGGCTGCCTGCCTATCAATTTTCTCCATGGGGTGTGCGAGGTTGAGGGTGCTGAAGAATGAGGCTGTAAAGGAGGTGGATGAGACAGTGAGGCTGCAAGACAGTGGGGGAGATAGGGAGGTGACAAAGCCAGAGGAAGTGGTGGAGATAGGTAGGCCATAACAGGTGATGGGAGAGAGATGAGGGATGCAAGAGTGGAGTGGGGGTGACAAACCAGTCATAAGGGGGATAATGGGAGGCAAGGAGGCCACAAAAAGGATGAGGGAGAAAATTAGTGAAACTGCGAATAGGGGAGAATGATGGAGAGGCCACAAGGGGGTATAGGGAGAAAGGCAAGGAGGTTGAAGGTGAAGAGAGACAGGGAGGATGCAAGGTGGGTAGGAGAGAGAGGGAGGATGCAAAGTGTGAATGGAGACAAGAAGGCTACAAATATTCAGGAGCTACTATATGGGGAAAAACATAATGGATGCTCTTATAATGAGCATTGTCTCAATTATATAATGTGCAAAATGTATAAATTTAAATCCGAGATTGACATCTGACCTGCAGCAGAAAGGGTTCTGGCTGGCTGGGCAGAGATTTCCAGCTTTCCGATTATTCAAAGAAAACATATTAACAGCAACCTCACCAGTATAGAAGTTATATTATGAGGGATGACATTTTGTGTGTAAGATCATAAGATGCAGGAATAGAAGTAGGCCATTCAGCCCATCGAGTCTACCTCGCCATTCAATAGCTCATGGCTGATCATTCTCAACTCCAATTTTCTACCCTTTCTGCATAATCTTGCTGGTTATATATCTGTCAACTTCAGCTTTGAATATACTTAATGAACTCTATGGCACTCCGAGGAGAAGAATTCGACAGGTTCACTACCCTCTGGTAAAGTCATTGAATTTCAAGGGGAGGTGGTTAGATTGTCTCATATTGGAGATAGTCATTGCTTGGAATTTGCATGGTGTGAATTTTACTTGCAACTTGATAGCCCAAATCTAGATATTGTCCAGGTCTTGTTGCATTTAACGATGGACTGCTTCAGTATCTGAGGAGTCCTTATTATGGAGAGAAAGTTATTGATGAAGCAGCTGAAGATGGTTGGGCCTAGGACACTACTTTGAGGAACTCCTGAAGAGATGTCCCAAAGCTGAGATAAGTGATCTCCAATAACTATGACCATCTTTTATGTGCCAGGTATGATTTCAACCAGCATTGAGTTTGCCCTGATTCCCATTGATTCCAGTTTTGCTCAGGCTACTTGATGACACACTTGGTTGAATGCAGCTTTGATGTCAGGGGCTGTCCTTCTCACTTCAGCTCTGGAATTAAGCTCTTTTGTTCATGTTTGAACCAAAGCTGTAATGAGGTCAGGAGCTGAGTTGCCCTGGCAGAACCCAAGTGAGCAGGTTATTGCTGAGCAGGCTGCCTGATAGCACTGTTGATGATACTTTCCATTACTTTACTGATGATTGCAAATAGACTGATGGATGGGTAATTGGCCGGGTTAGATTTGTCTTGCTTTTTGTGTAAAGGGCATACCTGGACAATTTTCCACATTGTTGGGGAGATGCCATTTTTGTAACCATACTGGAACAGCTTGAGTAGGGGTGCAGCAAGTTGTGGAGCACAAGTCTTCAGTACTATTACAGGATTGTTGTCAGGGCCCAAAACCTTTGCAGTATTTCATGCTTTCAAAAGTTTCTTGACATCACGGGGAGCGAATTGAATTGGCTGAAGACTGGCATCAGTAATGCTGAGGACCACTGAAGGAAGGCAAGATGGATCATCCACTTAGCACTTCTGGTTGAAGATTACTGCGAATGTTTCTGCCTTATCTTTTGCAAAGATATGCTGATGATGACCTTTGGTGCTGGACTCTCCCACAAGGTGAAACAAACTTTTCATATCTACCTTGTAAAGTTTCCCAAGAATCATGTATGTTTCGATAAGATTGCCTCTCGTTCTTCTAAATGCCAATGAGTACAGGTCTAGCCTACTTTTTGCCTATACTGAGGGAGAAAAAGCAACTTCCGTTTCTAAGTTATGGTGCGTTGTCTTGTACCACTTTAAATATTGTGATGTCTAGGAAATCAATGTTTTCCTTCTGTGTTGAGGCTTTAAGTTTAATAAAAGTTAGATAACTTTTGGGAACATTGATGAATTCTTCAAATTCTGCGTTTGCGTCAGACAAAATATCCCATGTGTCAAAACAAATGAAAAAGATAATGTTACTCCATTATTGTATCACATAATAATGAAAGTAATGAAAATGAAAAAGAAAGTAGCCCTTGAAAATTAAAAATAAGTAGCCCTTGAGAAAATCTTAAGTGGAGTCCTTGAACAAAATTGTACCACATTTTTTGGATGAAGGGTTAAATCCAGGCTCATCTGCTTTCTCAGGTAGGTGTTAAAAATTTGATGGCATCTTTTGAAGCAGAGTGGGTAAGTTGTTCCCAATGGCTTGGCCAATTTTTAACCTGCAATCAATGGCACAAAAGAACAATCTGGCCATTATCACATTGCTGCCTGCTGAGGGCACATTGACTGTTAAAATACCTTCATTATGACAGTGATTACTTTTCAAAAAGTTCTTCATTGGCTGAAAAGAGCTATACAAATGCAAGCTTTTTTTTTGTCTTCCAGAAGATCACAGAGGTACATCATAGGATCAAATGTTTAGATCTGAAAGGTAAGTTAACATTCTTAATGGTATCTTGTTTTAACCCCACAGATACTGATTTAGCAAATTGTGCTCCAAAATTTCCTTTGAAATACTGCCCATGTTGCATAGCAAAAGGAGGCTGATGACTGTAATGCCGTTGGGAGAATGGGTCATCATCTGTGAAGTCACCTGATGACATGGAACTGAGACGTCAGGAAAGAAAGTTCCTGTGGAGTCCTGATCTCTATGTATTGTGTAAATTAGTAAATCTTCATCATGTTGCACAAGCATTGTTTACAGGGCTCATACATCAAAAGCACCCAGACTCCAGTGTGATATTTACAATGGAAACAGTGGTCCCTGAGTCCTATACTGAGGATCCCATCCAACACTGACAAAAGGTCCATCACAGTAAACGGTGAAAATACTCATTACAGGAGTCCCACACTCGCCAACTAAAAGGGCACAGAGCTAGATGTAAAATTATAGATTGAGTGGGAGAAATAGTGTAACAGGTTAATAGCTCTTATGCTGGCAGATAGAATGTGTTATTAGTGTTGTCAGAAGATTTCACAGACTTAGAAAACAGTATGCAGGCAGGGGAGACCTGAGGAACAGTGTGCAGGCAGGGGAGACCTGAGGAACAGTGTGCAGGCAGGGGAGACCTGAGAAACAGTGTGCAGGCAGGGGAAACCTGAGGAACAGTGTGCAGGCAGGGGAGACCTGAGAAACAGGGTGTGGGTCGGGGAGACCTGAGAAACAGTGTGCGGATAGGGGAGTATTTAAAAACAGTATGTAGGCAGTGGAGACATGGAATATAACATGTGGGCAGGGGAGACCTGAAGGGTCTAGGCTGGAAACGTCAGCCATTCTGCTCCTATGATGCTGCTTGGCCTGCTGTGTTCATCCAGCCCTGCACCTTGTTGTCTCTTGAGTAGGTGGGGCACACTTGCAAGACAGATGGACAGTTGAAAAATAGTGCAAGGGCTGCAGAAAGTTGGAAAACACTTTGCCAGTGCAGGTCAGGGAGATGTGTTAGGCCTGGAGCCGAGCACAAACCAGGAGTGGAGGAATGGACAGAGCTGGGTTTTGAGCTGAGGTTGGGCTGGGTTTGGGCTGGGCTAGGTTTGAGGCTAGGTTTAATGCCAAGGCTCAGTTTGTGACCATGTTTTGTGAAGAAAGAAATCAAAAGTGAAACATCACAGAAAAAAGATAACTTATAGGGATGTAAGCATTTAGCTCTTTTCTCATCCACAAGGCAGGTAATTTATAAACAACTGTATAGTTTTATAATTTTAATAAAGTTTGCTGATTGTAATACGGCTTATTAGGAGATGTAGTAATTCAAAATTAATTAAGTAAGAATTATTAGTCAATTACTACAGAGTCAAGATGACAGGTAGATGATGTGCTGTGACCGCAAGCTGTGGGAATATCTGGATGCTAGTGTAATCTACGGCAAACAAGTCTTCAGTAAGTAGTTGCATCTCAAATTCTTTAGCTCAGAGCTTATGAGCTACAAGCAGAGCTGCAGAGACTGCATCTCAAGATAGCAGGGACACTTTGACACTTAACTTTAGTGGGGGATAAATATCCCTTAGAATAGGGCCTTCTGTGTTGGCCAGTGGTCAGGGACAGTTTGATGTGACTGAGTAAGGTAGGTCAGGGCATCAAGAATTTATGGTGGACTAGCTTTGACCAATGCAATTGTTCGATAGATGTGAGGTCCTTGCAACCTTTATTCATAAAAGTAGTGGCTACAGAGGGTTTGAGCAATCTGACAATGTCACCATCATGCAAAATATCATTTAGGTGAGCTGGGGAGTTAATAGGAACGTAGTGTTAATAGTGGACAACATGGCTATGAAAATTAATATGGTTCTTTGCAGCTAGGAGTGAGGGTCCAAAAGACTGTGTTCCCTACCTCGTTCACCCTATGCATTATGGGATATGCATTATTAAACCCCAAGCACCGAGGGCCCCATCACTGATCTCTGCGGGTCCCCACTGGACACAAGCTAGCAGTAGGAAAAACACCCTTCGTCCATTACTCTCTGCATCCAGAAAAGATTTTTCTGATGAAGGGTCTAGGCCCGAAACGTCAGCCTTTCTGCTCCTATGATGCTGCTTGGCCTGCTGTGTTCATCCAGCTCTGCACCTTGTTGTCTCCAAAATAAACTTTGATGTTTCAAAAACAGTTCACAATACAGAAGGGAAACTAACAGTTCTGAGGAAGGATCACCAGACCTGAAATGATAACTCGATTTTTTTTTCTCACAGATGCAACCAGACCTGCTGAGCTTTTCCAGTAATGTCTGTTTTTGTTCATGATTTACGGCATCCCCAGTTCTTTCAGTTTTTATGGAGAATAGCCAATGTTGTTCCTTTGTTTAAGAAGAGCAACACAGGGATAATCCAGCAAATTATAGGTCGGTGAGCCTTACATCAGTGGTAGGAAAATTACTGGAGAAAATTCTGAGGGACAAGATTTATTTGCATTTAGACAAGAATGGACTTTTTAGGAATAGTAAGCCTTCCTTTGTGCGGGGAGATCTGGAATGTGAGGAGTACGTCATCGGTCGAAAGAACCACTCTGCACGCTCAGCCCGCGCACAGCCAATCCCGACAACCTCCTCCACAAGAGACACAGGAAAGGCTCCACGCACAGGGAATACAAATGGCCGGACAATGTGCAGCCAGAATGCACTCCTCTCCCAAAGTGAAGGGGACACCATCAGGGACACATTAACTTTATTCAGACATTCTGCAGTGGTGGATAGAAGTCAGCTCCACATGGCAAACTCTGTCCCGAATCTGAATGCTCACAGAGTCCTGAGTAAACATTCGTGATCCAGCCTGTCAAATGTCTTTTCCTGATCGACAGAGAGGAAGGCGCTTAACATAGCAATCCCTTAGAAAACATGGATCAGGTCCCAGGCTTAGATGGCATTGCTGTGAAGTATTATAATGCACCACTGTGCGATGTTCCCACCACCAAAATCACTGTGACCTTTTTATCTTTTTGCTTTTTTTTTTACTATCCACCACCAGTAAAAACACCTGTATATCCAATTCAATATTTACATTCGAAACCCATTATGGGCAGTGCAAGCCATCAAAGATGAAGGGCCGGGGACAGGGGGTAGGTTAGGGACAGTGGGAGAAGCCCAGAATGTCAGCAGAAATGACTCCCTCCACAGCCCAGTGCCTAGATCTGTTTATAGTCAGGCCTGGGAGCAGGACCACAAGGAGGCCCTCTGATCTTCCTACACACCTCCGCACCAAGTGCCTGAAGATCAGGAGTCTGGGGGTGAAGTGCAAACAAAAACACAATAGAAGGCTTTGCAGAAAAGGAATGCAAATGCTCATAACCAATATATTCATGGCCCACAGATTCCGCAGGGGCCTTAAAATAAACAGTTGGGCAGGGAGTCCATGAACCGCCACAATGTGCAGTCATAAGGGACTGCTGCATGCAAAACACTCCACTCCAGGTCACCAGTGGAAAGAGGGAGGACTCCCATATAGACAGTCCTGAACTGGGGATCCCCACCTCCCGGTGGCAAATAAACATGCCAAGGTGCGTCTAGACGTAAGAGTCGAGGTGCAGCAGCAGCCTGTACAAAGCAGCCTCTTCGCGTAATAAGGAGGTGCCTCAGGTCGTGGGGCACAGGCTCCTGAGGGAGGTTCAGGCCAATGTGAAATTCTGCCTGAACGCAGGTACACACACAGACGGGATTCCACTGCACACCTGAGCATCCTCCAACTGGTGTATGACGTTGGGTTCTAGTGTCACCGTTTTAAGCTGGTGGATGGTGGTGGCCACGAGTCGGACATCTACCATCACCTTGCACGCCAATTCCTGCAGCAACGTCCAGCCCTTTCCTCCACCGCCCAGCACGTCCCTGACTCTGGTCAACCTGCGGTCATGGCCCTCCCATCTGCCAGCCACGTGAACCTGCGATGGTGGACGTGCGGATTCCCGAGCAGCGCTCTCTAACGATAGCTGCTACGCCTGACGGCAGGAAGGCCCAGCAGGAGTTGACCTTCGACTCCAGATAGCAATCAGGTCCTGGTAAAAGCCAGGCAGCGTCCTGAGGGTGACCTGTCAACTCTTTTGGTCAATGAACAGTAACTGTGTGTTATAATTGCGGTCGCACATCCAGCAGAAAAATATATATTGCTAGGCCGCACCATCTGACAGGAGGCTCAATGTTAAGGTTATGCTGTAGAGTTCAAAGGCACCTGGGTGTGGAGGCACACCAGTGATTGACTGCCCTTCTCAATAGAGAGGCTCAGAACCTCAGCTGCAACCCAGTGCATCTTCCTTTCCCAGAAGAAATGAACCAACATTCCTCTGATTTATGTGGCAAAACCAGGAGGTGGGAGTCAAAGGGAACAGCTGGCAGCAGCTAGCACTCAGAGCAGCCCTGTCCAGCGGCATCAGTGAGCCAAGACTCTGGCCTCCAGCACCTTCCAATTTGCTGGCCGGGATTCCTCAGATGGGCGAAGGTAGATCCCAGATAGAGGAGATGAGCGGTACTCTAGCCAAAACCCTGCAACCCCTCCGGCAAGGAATCTACTCATCACAGGCTGACCAGGAGTCTGGAACATTTGGCCCAGTTGATCATGGTGGAAGAGGCAACTGAGTACATCACCTGGCCCTCGCACACCCTCCCCAGGTCAGGCAGTCAGTGAACATGAGGAGCACGTTGTCAGCTTGAGCTGAACGAACCACTCCCCGTGCCTGGCCTGTGCATTCCCAATGCGACAACGTCCTTCGCAAGAACCACAGGAAAGGCTCTATGCACAGGGAATACTGATGGTCATACAAGTGGTAGCCCTGACCCACTCTTCTCCTAAAGCAAAGGGGCACCATCAGGGGCCTGTTACCGTTATTCAGACACTCTACAGTGATGTACAGAAGTCGGATCCCGCACACAGTGAGCCCCTTGTCTAAAACCAAGTTCACCACCCATTCAGACCGAAGGATTAAGACAACCTTCCATACATTTTGGACACTGTGACGATGGCTGATGAAAAGAGTTGAATTTTTTCTCTGTTTTTTTTAATTTTAAGATCTTTAGTGAGTAAAGGCCTTTCCCCATTAGGAAGCAATGAAAACTCTTCTTTTGTGAATATCTTACCAAATTGGTTCTGTACAGCTGGTTAAGATGCAGCAGCTTTCTTTCCTTAAGTTAGATTCTTACAAAGGGTTAAACAGAGACTGATGCACACATTATATAATAATTCCTGAATGTCAATGCCAGAATATTGTCTTTTTGCCCCAGGAGTCTGAGTTTCAATCCCGTCTAAATAAAGGGCAGCGATTTGTCTAACAGCAGTGAGAGGTGCAAAGTGCAATGGTTTAGAGCAGTTACAATTCATTTCAATGTGTGTATAAAGCTGCCTCAGATTTTGGCACTAACTGACATTAATTTATCGCCGTTGTTTACAAAAGCCACAAGTAGGGGAATTTGGGAATCTCAATATCTCTTGGATGTATGGTTTTTGAATTAACCTTATAATATTTTTACAGAAATCTATCCCATGCATCTTCAATTAAACTAAAGATATTTATTTTCTAGGTGAAAAGTTAGACTATGAGGGTTGTGAAGCCCTCGAAGAGATCTTCAAACGGATACAGTTTAAACTGATTAACTTGGAGTGGGTGAAGCTGGACGAAAATGTAAGGGTACCAATAGAATTTGCTGTAAGTGGGCTGCTACCTCTCACCACCTTTGGTAAATCTGCCACAGGGTATAAAATGAACAGTCAGTGCTATGAATTCATTCAGCAAGTGTACAGTAAACACTTATCTCTCACTGTGCCCCTTCAGGTCAGGACTTGCCTCAGTAATCTATAGAATTTCAGATCCCCTTGAAGCTTCCATACTTACACATATATCTTCACTCCTTTATAATTTATCATTGTTAGTTTGAACTCCTGGAACTCTGAAACTAACAGCACTGTGGGAGTATAGAAACATGAAAATTAGCATTGGGAGTATGCCATTCGGGCCTTCCAACCTATTCCACCATTTGATCTCAATGGCTGGTCTGATTGTGGCCTCAATTCTTCTTTCCTGTCTGTCACTGCATTCCTCCCACCCCAGCTCCTTTGGCAATTGAGAATCTGTCTAACACAGGCTTAAAAATATTAAGCCCTGGGGAAAATTGATGCACAGAGAGATCTGGTGTTCAGGTCCATTGTACCCTGAAGGTGGTAACGCAGGTCGATAGAGTGGTCAAGAAGGCATACGGCATGCTTTCATTCATCGGACGGGGTATTGCGCACAAGAGTTGGCAGGTCATGTTACAGTTGTATAGGACGTTGGTTCGACCACATTTGGAATACTGCGTACAGTTCTGGTCGCCACATTACCAAAAGTATGTGGATGCTTTGGAGAGGGTGCAGAGGAGGTTCACCCAGGATGTTGCCTGGTATGAGGGCGCTAGCTATGAAGAGAGGTTGAGTAGATTCGGATTATTTACATTAGAAAGACGGAGGTTGAGGGGGGACCTGATTGAGGTCTACAAAATCATGAGAGGTATAGACAGGGTGGATAGCAAGAAGCTTTTTCCCAGAGTGGGGGACTCAATTACTAGGGGTCACGATTTCAAGGTGAGAGGGGAAAAGTTTAAGGGAGATAGGCGTGGAAAGTTCTTTATGCAGAGGGTGCTGGGTGCCTGGAATGCGTTGCCAGCGGAGGTGATAGAGGTGGGCACGATAGCATCATTTAAGATGTATGTAGACAGATACATGAATGAGCAGGGAGCAAAGGGATACAGATCCTTGGAAAGTAGGTGACAGGTTTAGATAGAGGATCTGGATCGGTGCAGGCTTGGAGGGCCGACGGGCCTGTTCCTGTGCTGTAATTTTCTTTGTTCTTTGTTCTTTAATGACCCTGCTTCAATTACTCTCTGGAGAAGAGAGTTTTGACGAGCCAAGGTCCGCTGAGTGAAAAGAAATCCCTCTTATCTGTCAAAAATGGGAGACCCCTTAGTTTAAAACAATGTTCCCCTGTCTGGACTCTCCAACAAGGGAGGGCTGTCTTCACAGTCTGCAGTGATTCAAGAAGAAATCTCCCTGCCAGCTTCTTAAGTGCAACTAGACATGAGAAATAACGTTAGTTTTGTGCGTGATGCCCACATCCTGGGTATGAGCCATAAAAATCCTGAAAGTAGACTAGGGACATTGGATGTTGGAGCTGCTGAGGTCACTCCAATATCTGTTTTATGTTTGTGAACTGATCGTTTGTTTCTGTTGCTAAGATGTTCCGAAGTGACTGCTGTTGATTCATTGCTTAACTTGAAATATCTATGATTCTGTGCTGAGTGTGATAAGCAACGACATGAAAACATAGAAGCACAAATAGGTCATTCAGCCTGTTTAACCTGCTCTGCCATTCAATCGAGGCCAATCATCTGCCTCAATGCCACCTTCTGTACTATCCCCCATATCCCTTGATGCCGCTAGTTTTCAGAAATCTATTGATTCTGTCTTGAACATGCTGAAAGACTGAGCTTCGATGGCCCTCTGGCTGGTAGAGATTTCGAAACATTCACCATCGTCCTAGTGAAGAAATTCCTCCTCATTTCAGCTAATTTGATAGTCCCTCCAAGTCTCTTCAAGCTTTCTTGCATCCCCTTCATAGCAACTTCATAATCAGGTCATGTTCAGTCACAAACTTTGAAATATTATAATAGTAATCTAAATTGTGTGGATCGCTGTGATGTTGAATAAGTAGGAGGTAGTGACCAAACAAGTAAGATCAGAGATGAAACCATTGATTTTGAAATGAATAGCTTTTGATGGCTGGTTGACTGGCTGAATGTAGTAGATTTTATACCACAGGTAGTCCTTTTTCCCTAAAATATGCTTTATCCTTACAATTCGTAAAAGCACATTACAAAATATTTTGACCTGAAAATTAGAAAACCTGTGATAAAATTCAACTTGTTTCACTTTGAGGCGAAGTAATACAATCTTAAAGTTTGGAATGTACATCCCGTGACAGGTATACAGCCCAAGGGCAAAATATTTGAAATTGAAAATTACAGGAAGTAAAGAGCATCTAAAATATATCAAGGCTCCACATGGTGGAGCATGGTGTAAGAAGATAAGTTTATTTTTATTTGACACCATAGATGTAGTTAGTACACAGAACATTGCCTGCACGTCCTACCTAAAGCATTCTTAGGACATTGATTGAAGAGATTCCAATTACAACCTGGAGCATATTTGATCCCTCACTGTAAAATGAACTATTGCATATAACCTGCGCCACATGTGAACGTTTTATAAAGAAATTCTATCTATATCATTCAGCGGCATGACCAGTTAAGATTTAAAAATCTAGGCTGCCTTCTCTGGGCAAAGCTGTTGAAAGCATTCTAACAGAAGACTCCCATCCATTCAAGAAACCTCCAGCTGATGCCAGTGCTATTCATTTAGTAAGCTGTATCAGTAGAGCTCTCAGAAATATTAACACTTTCTGTTAGAGCTTGCTATTGGACTGGGAGAAGGGTTAAGAAATAACTGCCAAGGCAGTAGTCAGATGACAGAAACCAAAAAAACTTAATTACTTGTACCCACTTCCCTTACTTTACGGATCATCGGCCCAGTATTGAAACCTGCCAATTTTAAATTCCACCAATTGAAATCGACCAACTCAGAACAAATGAATGTTTGCATCTTTGAATTTCCTGGCCAGCCGTGGTTTTATTGAATGGTAGAGCTGGCTTACAGCGCTGAATTGCCAACTCCTGCTCCTAGCCGGTTGGTGGCACAGTGGTTAGCATTGCTGTCAGGGACCTGGTTTCAATTCCACCCTCGAGCTGTGTGGAGTTTTTACCTTCTCCCTGTGTCTTCCTCCCACAGTCCAGAGATATACAGGTCTGGTGGATTGGCAATCTGCTAAATTGCCCATAGTGTCCAGGGATGCGCAAGCTAGGTGGATTAGTCATGGGAAATGCAGGCTTTCAGGTATAGCGTATGGCGGTGTGTCTGGGTGGGAGGCTGTTCAGAGGACCAGAGTGCACTGAATGGGCTGAATGGCCTGCTTCCAGGCTGTACTGATTTACTGATTCTTATAAGGTACTGCACTGCAGTACCAATGGTGCCTACGTCCAGAAAGAACAATGCAACTTATATTTACAAACCAATAAAGAAAGTTATAGTCCAGCAGAAACAGATGTTAAATTATTTCAAATCTCTGATTAATGTGCTGATAAATTGATTTCAGGGGGCTTCAGCATTGTTTGATATAATGGAATACTATGACTCAGCAGTACACCTCAACATCTCCTTCACCAAACATATTGGAAGCAGGGGCTGGGTGGCAGCAGCTCAGCTGATTAGGAAGGTAATGGCACTCTGTATTTCTCTTATGTTTTGTGATGCGTTCAGGAAAAATTCTTGACCAATTATACGGAATATTTTTGGTCATTCTTCTCAAGCACCATTTATTTTTCATTCAATCCTTGAAAGCATCCATACCATTCAACTGCATCAAAACATAGAAAATAGGAGTAGGAGTGGGCCATTCGGCCCTTCCGGCCAGCTTCATCACTAACTATTATCATTCTACATGGTCATCTCATTCACCAATCCTTGTTCGAACTAATTTCTGACTCTCCCACACAAAGTACAAGCCAACAATAAGATCACGAAAGAAAGAAAAGCAGAAGAGAATGAAATTGTGAACCGTGTCAAGAAACATGTTTTGCATTGTATGCACCACTAACATCGATAGAATGTTCCCAAGTACTTTATAATCATTGAAGCATCCTTGAAGTGTAATATTAGAAGAAATGGCACTGTAACTGTGTCTCATTAGTTCCCCCTTTAGTTCACAATGATTTCTGGGTGCTTTTAGATCTGGCTCAGTTGATAGCCTGAATACCTCTGAATCAGAATATTATGTATTCAAGATCAATTTGTGGACTGCAGCGGTTCAAGGGGGCAGCTCAGCACCACTTTCTCGAGGCAACTAGGGACGGGAAATAAAATTCCGGTCCAGCCAGTTACATTGACGTCTCACAAGTGAATAAAACAACAAATCCAGAAAGTAAGCACAAAACTCAAGGCTGAAATTCCGATATAATACTGAGAAAGCACTGCAGGCACTGATCAGATGTCAAACAACAGCTCTCTCAAAACATGTAAAAGAAACATTGGCATAACTTCAAAGACTTGTTTTGGCCATAAATATTACTTAATCAACATCACAAAAACATTTTATCTGCTCAATATCATTGCTGGCAGTGGGAGATTGCTGTCAGCAAATGGGTTCCAATTTCTCCAGGACAATTCAATGATGCTTCATTGATTGTTAAGTGCTCTGAGATGTTCTTTGGATGTCACGGGTGCATATAAATGCAAAACAATTTGACACAATTCACAAATTCATTCTCTTCTGCTTTCTTTCTTTCACATCAGGGAATTAAAGGTATCTACAGCATAGAAAAAGGCCCTTCAGCCCATCAGGTCTGCACTGGTTAAAAACAGCCACCTAACCATTTAACAACCACCTAATTATCTAAGCCTATTTTCCAGCACTTGGTCCATTTCCATGTGTGCATTGGCATTGCAGGTGCATGTCGAAATACTTCTCATATGTTATGAGAGTTTCTACTTCGACTGTTCTTACAGGCAGTGAGTCCACTTTCCCACCACCCTCTGAATGAAATTCTTTTTCCTCACATCCTCTCTAAACCTCCTTCCCCTTATCTTAAATCTATGCCCTCAATTATTAATCCCTCCAAAAAGGGACTAAAGTCTCTTCCTGTCTACTCAATTTATGGCCCTCATAATTTTATAAATCTCAATCATGACCCCCCAATCTCCTCTGCTCCAAGGAAAACAACCCAATTCTATCCAATCTTTCTTCACAACTAAGGCAATCACCAGACTTGAAACACTAACTCTGATTTTTTTCTTCACAGATGCTGCCAGACCTGCTGAGCTTTTCCAGCAACTTCTGTTTTTGTTCCTGATTTACAGCATCCGCAGTTCTTTCGGTTTTTACCTGGTAAATCTTCTCTGCATCCCACCATAATGTGGATTCCAGAACTGCACACAATGACTTAACCAACATTTTATACAGTTACAGCATAACCCCACTGCTCTTCAACTCTATGTCATGGCTAATAAAGACAAATATCCCATTCACCTTCTTAACCACATTCTCTACCAGTCCGGCTGTCTTAAGGTACAGGCGGTCATGCACACCACGCTGATCCGCGATGGGCCCCACTGTATTACTGTTCATCATTTATTCCCTTGCCTTGTTTGTCCTGCCCAAGTGCATCACCTCACAAATTTCAAGGTTGAAATCTGCTTGCCACTGATCAGCCCATCTGGCCAGCTCATCTATATCCTCTTGTATTATTAAGCTATCCTCCTCACTATTTAACATACACCAATATTCTTATAAATCAACCCTCCTACATTCAAGTCTAAATCATTTATAAATGCCAAAAGCACCAAGGGCCCCAACAATGAACACAGTGGAACACCACTGTACATGGGCTTACAGTCACAAAAACATTCCTTGGCCATTACCCTCTGCTTCTTACCTCTCACTCAATTCTGGATCCAATTTGCCAACTTTCCTTCGATCCCATGGAATCTTACCTTCCCTTTCAGTCTCCTTGCGTCACGTGAATGTGACGCTTCTGTTTGCAGTTGCTCTCATACTCATCGAAACAGACAACTGCATTTTGTTTTCCTGTGTGCAAATGATCACCTCTGGTTTGTCCTCATGCTGCTTCCTCAGTTCACCATGAAGATGGCACCTTCTCAACCTTGTCCCACACCTGAGGCATGGTGGCCCTCACGTTAAACTCACTGCCAGTCATCTCTCTCCCCAATGAGGGATCAGCCAATGGACCTCTGGGCCTGTGATGACTTTCATCCTCAGTTCACTCCATATCGTTGTTTTTTTTTTCATAGTTATCAGTGAGACTAATATTAAGAGGACTCTCATCTTCCATGCACACTCAGTTTATCCAATTCCATCACTTCACCAGTCACTTCGGGGTTGTTGATGTACTATTAGACTGCTATCAAATCCTGAACGGGCAGATATCCTCTAGGTCAGCTTCAACAAGTCTGAAGCCATCTTGTTTGGCACTGTGCTTTGTGACTCCATCCTCCTCTCTCATCTCCACCTATCTTCTCCTCTATCCATCTTCTATCCACCTCCCCCTCTCTCCCTATTTATTTCAGAACCCCCTTCCCCTCCCCTATTTCTGATGAAGGGTCTAGGCCCGAAACGTCAGCCTTTCTGCTCCTATGATGCTGCTTGGCCTGCTGTGTTCAACCAGCCCTGCACCTTGTTGTCTCGGATTCTCCAGCATCTGCAGTTCCTACTATCTCTGATTCAGATTAATCCTGTTGTCAGTCTGCCTATTCTACTTCTGGAGCATTACCTGCTGACCCCTTCCCTCCTCTTCCCTGCTGCTTTATCCATCTTTCATCACCTCAAACATCAATTTCTTTCAAAAATAACTCTCCAACCCAACTTCCCCACCTTCGCAACCTCCAGCAATCTGGTTTTCTTCTACACAAAGTCTCACATTTGTAACATTTGCCAAGCAATGTTCCAAACAAGTCAATTTCAAAATCCTCCAGCCTTGACCTATTCTACATGGAAATCTCTGAATCTATATTGAAGCGCACCCCTGTGCGCCTGAGTCTGGGCTGCTTCTTGTTCCCAGCTGTCACTCTCTAACACTTTACCAGATTGGAAGGGGGGAATATTTGAACTTTGACCCTGCTGCCCTTTGGAATTATCTTCCAAATTATGCCTGACCTACCTTTGAAGGGTTTCTGGTTTATCAGCCTCCCTGACTGCTACCTTCAATCCCATCTTGGGACTGGTGCTCAGTTATTCGTCCACCACCCTGAATCAATATTGAAAGATGTATTCTTCTCTGTACATTAGAATTCTCATCCATTGTTCACACGTGTGTTGAGATCATGAATTGAACTGAATTAGCTTTATTGTCACATGTATTCAAATGAGTACAGTGAAGAGTTTACAAGTAGTCACTTACAGTGCCATCTTAGGTACAAAGGTACCGAGGTACAATCCTTAGTTACAGAATAGAGAAATGAAGAAAAAATGTTACATTACGGCTATATATAGTATAACCATAGATCAAAAGAACAAGAAGCAAAGTTTAAAAGACAAACATCACAGACTTTCTCCAAGGGCTGTCAGCAGCAGGGACTCTATGTCGTCCGACTGTGGCTGTTGTGATGCTCCGCACCAGTCTGCTCCCGCACCAGCCCGCTACCCCCTACTCCTGCAACAGCCCGCTACCACCCACTCCCGGACCAGCCCGCTAACCCCACTCCCGCACCGGGCTGCTACCCCCCACGCCCACACCAGCCCACTACCCTCCACTCCCGCACCGGCCCGCATCCCCCCCACTCCCGCACCAGGCCTCTATCCCCCACTCCCGCACCGGGCCACTTATCCCCGACTCCCGCACCGGGCCTCTATCCCCCACTCCTGCACCGGGCCTCTATCCCCCACTCCTGCACCAGGCCTCTATCCCCCATTCCCGCACCGGGCCTCTATCCCCCATTCCTGCTCCAGGCTGCGGGCGGCTGGTGTCATTGCTTCTGGCACGTTGCTCGCTGGCTTCCCCTCTCCGGTCCACCAACCCTGCTTTGGTGGCTGGGAATCAGAGGCCGGGGCCTGGCGTTGAGAAACCACAGAAGGGAGGAAAAAGAAAACGAATGGGTAGAATGGATAAGCTCTGGCTGGAGTGTTCTACTCGGCCACCATCTTACCGGAAGATCATGGGCACTATTCCTATGATTTGTTGACTATGCACAGTTGGTATGTTTGCCAATTTGGGCCACTCAAGAATATGTAGATTAGAAAACCTTTAGAGTCTGGATTCAGGCCATATTATCACCTTAAATAAACAGGACCTTTTTATTTCCTTAGAGCAGCAGTTTGAAAGACTTTGCGGCCTGTGGCATTTCCTTGACAGAGCACAACGCACGTTCAGTGGCACAAGGCCTGAAGTTTAACAGTCACCTGAGAGTATTACGTCTGGATAATGCCAGTTTAAGTGGTCGGCCTCTGATGCTGCTAGGTACATGTTTATCTCCTCTTACTCTTGCTTTTGCAGGCTGTAAAGATGGCGAACTGTGAGAAAAGGACCATTTGACCATGCTGGAAGGAGGGTGCTCGCATGACTTTGGGACTGGGGCTCTCGTTAAACAGATTATTTCTGGAACTAGTCTTTAATGTGGGAGCATTTGATATTGATGCTGAATATAAAAATAGCTATTTCTTGCTGTGAGACTTGGTTGGGGGGGGAATGCTGTGGTTGGGGGGGAAATATATCACTGAAATGGTTTATAAATCAGACGAGTGTCATTTGGATTAGCCTTTTGCATATTTATCATTAAAATATCAATCTTTCAGAACTTCAAATCAAACTAAATCAATCATAAAAGTAAAGACTTCTACACAGGATATAAAGAATAAGTAGAACATTTAGGAATATAATTAACTCCGGTAGCGCACTAGTGAGTGCGCTCACATAAAATTCTTTTGTGTTATTTTAATACAATTGTTAACCCTTGAGTTAATGATTCCATTAGAAATATGCTGAATGGAAATTTCTGTGACTGTATTATGAAATGTACTATCCAAGCAGATTAAACCTCTTGAAATTTCGTACCAACACCCAGACTTTTTGAGAACTCATCTTCATATTTTGCTAATTTTGTGCAGCTGAATCTGTTGCCTCCACAGTTTCTGCCCTGAGTGTGAACCAAATGCTACAGGAACTCTACTTGGCAGACAACAAACTGAACAGCATTCAGGACTCCATGTACCTACGAGAGCTGTTGCAATCTAACTGTACCATAAGACTGTTAGACCTCAAAAACAATTCGATCTTCAACACAGGTAAGCAGGAATGGTACACTATACAATGAATCTTAACAATAGATTAAATGATTCCTCTTTCACTTCATTTCCAAATTCTCTTTTGTTTGCATCTTAGGACTTCTTGCTTGACTTTTTCTGGTCATTTTGATTCCACTTTAAAACTGGCTTGTTTTCCTGTATCGTGATCATTTGTCATTTTTGAGTGCCTTTCCAATGTGATTATAAGGAACTGTGGAATTGACTATCAGTGTGACTTATGGCTTGGAGTCACTCGTACACATCTGAGTCAGGTCCAAGAAAGTCCCATTCCAAAGAGCTGAGCAGTAAATTCCAGGCTGATTTATGAGCGAAGCATTGTCAAAAGTGAGGTTGTTGACTTGCTCGCCGAGCTGGCTGGTTGTAGTTCAGACGTTTCATCATCATGCGAGGTAACATCATCAGTGTGGCCTCCGATGAGGTCATCTTGTTCTACTCCGGTTGGAATTTATACTGTCTGGTCTGTTATGGTGAGTTATGTCATTTCTGGTTCTTTTTTGCAAGGGTTTCTATACGGGGGTCTAATTCCACGTGTTTATTGATTGCATTATGGGTGGACAACTAGACCTCTAGGAATTCCCGTGCATATTTATAGTTGGCTTGAGCTAGAATGGTCACGTCGTCCCAGTTAAATTGATGGCCTTCGTTGTCCGAGTGCATTGAAATGAGGGAAAGTTTGTCGTGTTGTTTTGCTGCTAGCTGGTGTTCATGTATCCTGAAGGCTAGTTTCCTTCCTGTCTGGTGATGTAATATTTTTGGCAGTCCTTGCACGGAATTTTGTACACTATGTTGGTTCTGCATATCTTGGGTATGAGTCTTTGGTCCTTGTAAGTGTTTGTCGTACTGTGGTTGTGGGTTTGTATGCTATCCTGATTCCTAGTGGTCGTAGGAGTCCTGTTGTCAGTTCCGATATGTTCTTGACATATGGTAATGTGGCCAGTATGTTAGGGCATATTGTATGCTCTTGGTGTTGTCTATCTCGGAGGCATCTGCGGATGAAGTTGGTGGGGTATCCATTGATAATGAAGACCTTGTGTAGGTGCTCTTCCTCCTTCTTGCAAAGTTCATAAAAATGAAACCAGAAGGCTCAAACACCCCCCACTTCTATGGATTCCCCAAAGTACATAAACTGGACATTCCCCCTCAGACCCATTGTCGCCCTACCAGGCACACCTACATACAAACTAGCCAAGAACCTACAACAAAGACTAAAACACCTGGTCGACAGATCACCCCACTCCATCCACTCAACTCAGGAATTCCTTAATATCCTCAAGGACAACAAAATCAACAGCAACGAGGTTATGGTATCCTTTGACGTTACAGAGCTATTCACGTCCATTGACATCCCACTAGCCAAAGAAACACTGGCCACATTACTAGAGGAAACAGAAATGCCAACCAACAGCTCCATCAGCAGGACAACATACTCAGGCTACTGGACCGAGGCCTCATACACACTTCACCTTTACTGGTCAAGTATAGAAACAGATTAATGGTACACCTTTCAGTTGTTTCAGCGGCGGGAGTCCGGGAGGAAGTGCGAGGGCAGCCTGGGAAGGTGAGCTTTTGGATTATAAAGGTCTTACCTCGCGTGACTGCAGCCTTTCAGTTGTTTCAGCGGCGGGAGTCCGGGAGGAAGCGCGAGGGTAGCCTGGGAAGGTGAGCTTTTCGATTATAAAGGTCCTACCTCGCGTGACTCCATTTTTGGAGTAAGTGAGGTAATATATTTGGGCGGTTGCTTAACCCGAAACACTACCTAGGTAGTGTCTCCCACCCATCCTCCTCCTCTAACCAAAAAAAAAGGTTCTGAGCGCTGATTTGGTAAGGCTACCAGTATTTTTATTTTTAATTTGTCTGTTTGGGAATTCAGAACAGTGGGAATGGATGTTAGGGCAGTTGTATGCTCCTCCTGTAGAATGTGGGGGGTAAGGGTCACCACTAGTGTCCCCACTGACTTCATCTGCGGGAAGTGCACCCAACTCCAGCTCCTCAGAAACCGTGTTAGGGAACTGGAGCTGGAGCTGGATGAACTTCGGATCATTCGGGAGGCTGAGGGGGTAATTGAGAGGAGTTACGGGGAGGTAGTCACACCTCAGGTACAGGAAAAAAGTAGATGGGTTACAGTCAGGGGATGGAAAGGGAACAGGCAGACAGTGCAGGGATCCCCTGTGGCCATTCCCCTCAAAAACAAGTATACCGTTTTGGATACTGTTGGGGGGGACGACTTACCAGGGGTAAGCCATGGGGTACAGGTCTCTGGCACAGAGTCTGTCCCTGTTGCTCAGAAGGGAAGCGGGGAGAAGAGGAGAGCATTAGTCATTGGGGACTCTATAGTTAGGGGGACAGATAGGAGATTCTGTGGAAACGAGAGCGACTCGCGGTTGGTGTGTTGCCTCCCAGGTGCCAGGGTCCGTGATGTCTCGGATCGTGTTTTCGGGATCCTTAAGGGGGAGGGGGAGCAGCCCCAAGTCGTGGTCCACATAGGCACCAACGACATAGGTAGGAAAAGGGATGGGGATGTAAGGCAGAAATTCAAGGAGCTAGGGTGGAAGCTTAGAGCTAGAACAAACAGAGTTGTTATCTCTGGTTTGTTACCCGTGCCACGTGCTAGCGAGGCGAGGAATGAGGAGAGAGAGCAGTTGAACACGTGGCTACAGGGATGGTGCAGGAGGGAGGGATTCAGATACCTGGATAATTGGGGCTCATTCTGGGGTAGGTGGGACCTCTACAAACGGGATGGTCTACACCTGAACCAGAGGGGTACCAATATCCTGGGGGGGGAAATTTGCTAATGCTCTTCGGGAGGGTTTAAACTAATTCAACAGAGGGGTGGGAACCTGAATTGTAGCTCCAGTGTACAGGAGGTTGAGAGTAGAGAGGTCATAAATAAGGTTTCAAGGTCGCAGGAGTGTACCGGCAGGCAGGAAGGTGGTTTGAAGTGTGTCTACTTCAATGCCAGGAGCATCCGGAATAAGGTGGGTGAACTTGCAGCATGGGTTGGTACCTGGGACTTCGATGTTGTGGCCACTTCGGAGACATGGATAGAGCAGGGACAGGAATGGTTGTTGCAGGTTCCGGGGTTCAGATGTTTCAGTAAGATCAGGGAAGGTGGTAAAAGAGGGGGAGGTGTGGCATTGTTAGTGAAGGACAGTATTACGGTGGCAGAAAGGACATTTGATGACAACTCGTCTACTGAGGTAGTATGGGCTGAGGTTAGAACCAGGAAAGGAGAGGTCACCCTGTTGGGAGTTTTCTATAGGCCTCCAAAAAGTTCCAGAGATGTAGAGGAAAAGATTGCAAAGATGATTCTGGATAGGAGCGAAAGTAACAGGGTGGTTCTTATGGGGGACTTTAACTTTCCAAATATTGACTGGAAACGCTGTAGTTCGAGTACTTCAGATGTGTCAGTTTTTGTCCAATGTGTGCAGGAGGGTTTCCTGACACAGTATGTAGATAGGCCAACAAGAGGCGAGGCCACATTGGATTTGGTACTGGGTAATGAACCAGGCCAGGTGTTAGATTTGGAGGTAGGTGAGCACTTTGGTGATAGTGACCACAATTCGGTTACGTTTACTTTAGCGATGGAAAGGGATCGGTATATACCGCAGGGCAAGAGTTATAGCTGGGGGAAAGGCAATTATGAGGCGATGAGGCAAGATTTAGGATGCATAGGATGGAGAAGGAAACTGCAGGGGCTGGGCACAATTGAAATGTGGAGCTGGTTCAAGGAACAGCTACTGTGTGTCCTTGAGAAGTATTTACCTGTCAGGCAGGGAGGAAGTGGTCGAGCGAGGGAACCGTGGTTTACTAAAGAAGTTGAATCTCTTGTCAAGAGGAAGAAGGAGGCTTATGTAGAGATGAGGCGTGAAGACTCAGTTAGGGCGCTTGAGAGTTACAAGTTAGCCAGGAAGGACCTAAAGAGAGAGCTAAGAAGAGCCAGGAAGGGACATGAGAAGTCTTTAGCAGGTAGGATCAAGGAAAACCCTAAAGCTTTCTATAGGTATGTCAGGAATAAAAGAATGACTAGAGTAAGATTGGGGCCGGTCAAGGACAGTAGTGGGAAGTTGTGCGTGGAGTCCGAAGAGATAGGAGAGGTGCTCAATGAATATTTTTTGTCAGTATTCACACAGGAAAAAGACAATGTAGTCAAGGAGAATACTGAGATACAGTCTATTAGACTAGACGGGATTGAGGTTCATAAGGAGGAGGTGTTAGCAATTCTGGAAGGTCTGAAAATAGATAAGTCCCCTGGGCAAGATGGGATTTATCCTAGGATTCTCTGGGAAGCTAGAGAGGAGATTGCAGAGCCTTTGGCTTTGATCTTTATGTCGTCATTGTCTTCAGGAATAGTGCCAGAAGACTGGAGACTAGCAAATGTTGTCCCCTTGTTCAAGAAGGGGAGTAGAGACAACCCTGGTAATTATAGACCAGTGAGCCTTACTTCGGTTGTGGGTAAAGTGTTGGAAAGGATTATAAGAGATAGGATTTATAATCATCTAGAAAGGAATAATTTGATTAGGGATAGTCAACACGGTTTTGTGAAGGGTAGGTTGTGCCTCACAAACCTTATTGAGTTCTTTGAGAAGGTGACCAAACAGGTGGATGAGGGTAAAGCGGTTGATGTGGTGTATATGGATTTCAGTAAAGCGTTTGATAAGGTTCCCCGTGGTAGGCTATTGCAGCAAATACGGAGGCATAGGATTGAGGGTGATTTAGCGGTTTGGATCAGAAATTGGCTAGCTGTAAGAAGACAGAGGGTGGTGATTGATGGGAAATGTTCATCCTGGAGTTCAGTTACTAGTGGTGTACCTCAAGGATCTGTTTTGGGGCCACTGCTGTTTGTCATTTTTATAAGTGACCTGGATGAGGGCGTAGAAGGATGGGTTAGTAAATTTGCGGATGACACCAAAGTTGGTGGTGTTGTGGATAGTGCGGAAGGATGTTGCAGGTTACAGAGGGACATAGATAAGCTGCAGAGCTGGGCTGAGAGGTGGCAAATGGAGTTTAATGCGGAAAAGTGTGAGGTGATTCACTTTGGAAGGAGTAACAGGAATGCAGAGTACTGGGCTAATGGTAAGATTCTTGGTAGTGTGGATGAGCAGAAAGATCTCAGTGTCCATGTGCATAGATCACTGAAAGTTGCCACCCAGGTTGATAGCGTTGTTAAGAAGGCGTACAGTATGTTAGGTTTTATTGGTAGAGGGATTGAGTTTCGGAGCCATGAGGTCATGTTGCAGCTGTACAAAACTCTGGTGCGGCCGCACTTGGAGTATTGCGTATAGTTCTGGTCACCGCATTATAAGAAGGATGTGGAAGCATTGGAAAGGGTGCAGAGGAGATTTACCAGGATGTTGCCTGGTATGGAGGGAAGGTCTTATGAGGAAAGGCTGAGGGTCTTGAGGCTGTTTTCATTAGAGAGAAGAAGGTTAAGAGGTGACTTGATAGAGACATACAAGATGATCAGAGGATTAGATAGGGTGGACAGTGGGAGCCTTTTTCCTCGGATGGTGATGACTAGCACGAGGGGACATAGCTTTAAATTGAGGGGTGATAGATATAGGACAGATGTCAGAGGTAAGTTCTTTACTCAGAGAGTAGTAAGGGCGTGGAATGCCCTGCCTGCAAAAATAGTAGACTCGCCGACTTTAAGGGCATTTAAATGGTCATTGGATAAACATATGGATGATAATGGAATAGTTTAGGTTAGATGGGCTTCAGATTGGTTTCACAGGTCGGCGCAACATCGAGGGCCGAAGGGCCTATACTGCGCTGTAATGTTCTATGTTCTATGTTCTATGGGGTCACTCATCTCAGGGCTTATTGCAGAGGCAGACATGCAAAGATTGGAGCACACTACTCTCCCCCTCATACAGCCAAAACTGTGGATATGATACATGGACGACATACTTGTCATCAATAAATGCACTAAGTTAGAAGAGACATACATCTCATTGACAATGTTTTCACCGAGATCAAATTTACAAGAGAAGAGGAAAGCTACGATCAACTTCCGTTTCTAGACATTAGGGTAGAACGAATGACGAACGGGGAATTCCAAACCACAGTATATAGGAAGGCAACGCATACTGACCAAATCCTCAATTTTCACAGCAACCACCCCAATGTCCAAAAAGAAAGCTGTGTAAGGACACTATTCAAATGGGCCACAACTCACTGCAACACATTGGAACTTCGCAAGAAGGAGGAAGAGCAACTATACAAGTTCTTCGCTATCAATGGATACCCCATCATCTTCATCTGCAGATGTCTACTAGATAGGCAACACCAAGAGGACACAATATGACCTAATGCACTGGCCACACTACTGTATGTCAAGAACATATTGGAACTGACAATGAGACTCCTACGACCACTCAGAATCAGGACAGCACACAAATCGACAGCCACACTATAACAAACACTCACCAGGACCAAAGGCCCATCCCCACGACATGCAGGACCAATGTAGTGTTCAAAATACCATGCAAGGTCTGCCAAAAACATTACATCAGCCGGACAGGAAGGAAACTAGCCATCAGGATACATGAATTCCAGCTGGTAGCAAAATGACACAACGAACTTTCCCTCATTTCAGTACAATGGACAATGAAGGCCATCAACTTAACTGGGACAACGTGACCATCCTAGCTCAAGCCAACCACAGACATGCACAGGAATTCCTAGAGGCCTGGTTCTCCACCCATAATGCAACTAATAAACATGTGGAATTAGACTCCATATACAAACCCTTGCAAAAAGAACTGGAAATGACACAAAACACCTGAACAGACCCAATTGTATCGAACATATTGCTTCATCGGAGTCCACACTGATGATGTTACCTTGCATGGTGGTGACGCGTCTGAACTATCACCAGCCAGCTCGGCGAACAAGTCAACAACCTCACCCACAGCCCGAGCTACAAATCTTCACAAGAACCTTAAATTGTCAAATGTGCTAACATTGAGATGGTTACTTTGAGGCCCTGACTTCTGTGCTTCTGACTTTTTGAAAAAGAACAGGAGATTTATCCTAATATCCCTGTCAACATTTATCCCTTTACCAAAAACATTAATGAAATGTCACCACTGGCACATAGTTGTTGTGGAAACTTGCAGTGTTTCTGTGTTTCCTTCAAGACTATACTGGAAAAGTACATTTACTACGTGGCACCTTAGGACCCTGTGAGGTTGTGAAAGTTACCATAAAAATACAAATCTTTCTTTTTATTTAACAGCATTTTACTTAGTAAGACTTCCTCGGTCTTCTTCTTGAATGGAATATCGGTAGCACTGAAATTAATTATGACATGTTTCCCACTGGAATTCAGTGCCGGCCTCGATTATACACACAAATCTCTGGATTCCGCTTAAATATAGAACCTTTGAGGCAGTGAAGAGAATGCCGCCACTGAGCCAAGGCCAACAGTTCACACAGTATCATTCATTTTCATTGGTGCATTTTGGGCTCAAATGAGATTTGTATTTTCCAGTGGGTTGAAATCAGGACATTTACTAACACTGGTACATAGTTAATGTGTAGAATTTCAGGAACCAATATATACATCTATGATGTCAGATTCCTCACGGTTTGTAAGACACAGTGTAGCAATGTTTGGTCTTTAACTTTCCTGAATCAGTATTTTTCAAAGTCTCTAATAGTAAGATGGGATTAATCAAACTGTAGGTACTTTTCTATAATTGTAGGCCTCTTGAGCAAGTGGAATTTGAACCCAGGCCTTCTGGTTCAAAGGTAAGGGACACTACCACTGTGCAATGAACTCTCATCATCAGATTGTATGCCTGTCACTGGCATGTATGGCAGATATCAGTGAAACAAAGCTTCAGAACCATGTGACCAAAGTGTTGCCAGAAGGAGTGGTGGGAACAGCATTCAAGGTCACTTAAAATAGATCAGTACCAATTTTTAATCCTTGTAACCTTCACCTTTTGTGTATCCATGCATTAAATTTCACAGTGACTCAGAACTGAATCAGGGCATATTTGAAAGATTTGGAAGAAAACATAAAGGTTATAAGTTAGTTCTGCGGATTAACTGGTTGAATCTGTTTCTAGGACTGGAAGATATCTGTGAAGGTCTAAGAAGACAGAAGCAAGGTCTGAAAACACTTATACTTTGGAACAACAGACTAACACATAAAGGGATGAGTCATCTAGCTGCTGTTCTAGTAAGTTAATCATTTTAACAATAAGAGTGATATTCAGTATATAGACAGTATACAATAGATCTGTTTATTGGTGAAATTACTTGCTGTGTCTTCAATTTTGAACATTGAATTTAAGTCTCAGAATTACTAGAAGCCAAAAAGAGATGTTTTGTCAAGGTGCTGTCCTTCAGATGAGATGTTTAAATGAGGTCCTTAGTGCTCTCTGGTGACTTATATCAATTTCTACATTAGTGTTTGTTCTCATGGATGAAGGGGATAATTTAAATCAGTGAATTGGGGTATATAATGAAATTATAAAGTCATACAGCATGGAAACAGACCCTTCGGTCCAACTAGTCTGCGCCAACCATGTTTCCAAACTAAACTAGTCCCACCTGCCTGCACATGGCCCATATCCCTCCAAACCTTTCCTATTCATGTACTTATTCAAATATCTTTTAAATCTTGTAACTGTACCTGCATTCTCTGTCTGTTTATTTCACACGTGAACCACTCACTGTGTGAAAAGGTTGCTCCTCCTGTCCTTTTTAAATCTTTCTCCTCTCACCTTAAAAATATGCCGCCTAGTTTTGAACTCTCCCACTATAGGGAAAAGATTCTTGCTATCCACCTTACCTATGCCCCTCATGATGTTATAAACCTCTATAAAGTCACCCCTCAACCTCCAAAACTCCAGTGAAAAAAGCCCCAGCCTATCCAGCCACTCCTTATAACTCAAAACATCCATTTGTGTTAATATCCTGGTAAATCTTTTCTGAAATCTCTCCAATTTAATAATATCCTTCCTACAGTGGGTGACCAGAACTGCACACAGTGCTCCAGAAGAGGGCCCATCAATATTCTGTACAATCTCAACATGACATCCCAACTCCTATACTGAAAGGTCAGAGCAATAAAGGCAAGTTTATTAAACATCTTCTTAACCACACCGTCTACCTGTGACGCAAATTTCAATGAATTATGCACCTGAGCCCCTCGGTCTCTCTGTTCTACAACACTACAAAGGGACCTACCACTAATTGTATAAGTCCTGCCCTTGTTCGTTTTATCAAAATGCAATACCTTGCATTTATCCAAAATAAACCAAATTAATCTGCCATTCTGCAACCTACTGACACAATTGATTAAGATCTCTTTGTAATCTTAGAGAATCTTCTTCCTGTCCACTATACCACCAATTTTGGTGTCATCCGCAAACTTACTAACCATGCCCCGATATTCTCATCCAAATCATTTATATAAATGATAAACAAAACTGGACCCAATACTGATCCCTGGGGAATGCTGCTAGCCACAGTTGTCCAGTCTGAAAACAGCCCTCTGTCTGGCATTCCACTTTTAAATTAAATATACTATTTTCTTTGGTGAGTTAATAATTTCACCAGACTGTATCTTTGAACTTAGGGCTTTTTCTTTACTTGTCCATAGGATATGGGCATCGCTGGCTAGGCCAGTCTTGGTTGTCTGTCCTGAATTGCCTTGGACGATGTGCCGCCTTCTTAAACAATGGGTTGTAGAGACACCTACAGTGGTGTTAGGAAGGGACTTTGACCCAGTGCTAGTGAAGCAATGGCACTATAACTCCAAGTCAGGATGATACTCATAACAAACATAACTTAAAATAACAAAGTAACAAATGCATTATACAAGGAACATTGGATTCAGACACTGAGCTGTGATTAGGAGAAGAGTTAAGGTAAGTGACCAAAGCTGATTAAGAGGGTAGTTTTCATGAAGGCCTTTGAAAGCAGGAAGAGATAAAAGGAAAGGATGATTCAGAAGCTTGTCTGCTGGGGAAGCCTGGGTAGAAGACGGGGTGGTTGAGATATATAGTGATGTAGTTGGCATTCTGTAAGTGGGTAGAGCAAAGCCAGGAGATTTACAGCTGTAGACAAGGGGTTTAAAGGGAATATTTTGGGGAATACTGATATCGATGGACAGCAATGAGAAAAGAGGTGATATTTGAACAAGATCTAATGTGAGATATGATGCGTTCAATGACACATGACAAAGTAGCAGGGATTTCTACGAAGAAAGAACAATAAGGTGACAAAGGCATCAACATGCATTGTAATATGTTTCAGAAAATCCTGGCAGGAATATGTTCTAAATTAGACTGTCAAAACTGCAATTTGGAAATAATTCAATAGATAATTAGGTATCATGGTAAAAACCAGAGTGCTTTTCCAAATGGATAAAATATGATAGTCCAAATGGTCGTCCTTATCCATATTTATATTATGACCTTATAAATTGTGAACATTAATTCTAAATATTGTTTTAAACAGCAAGTTTCCTTAATACGGAGACTGGGGCTGGAAGTAAAGCTGTCTTCCAAGTCTAATTTAACTTTGGGGTCATAAATATTTGGGTTTTATTCAACCAAAGGGTTGTTTGATGCTGAGTGTTTCTCAATGAACTACAAGTTGTGCCATTCTAATCTTTCAATATTACTTAAACTAATCTAAGTTTTTTCTTGACATTAGCTGCCAGTTTGGAACAATAGCTAGCTTTGACAATATTTGAATCAGCTTCCTTATGTCATGCATTGAACCTCTTTGAAATCAATAATACAGAACAAAGCACTTCGAAAATTCACAATGGCCACAAAACTTCTGTAAGCTATCATGAATGGCACCCATCTTTAACTAAACCTGACCTTGCCCTCCAAGATCCTTTATTTAGCTTAAAGCTGAAAGTGTGAGATGAAAACACTGCAGGCCCCTTTACAGGACATCAGGAATTTAAGTGAACTGGGCATGCATACCTGACATATCTCCTTAACCAATCATATTGTGGCTTTGTGAAATGCACAAGATCTAAGACAAAACTATGTTAGTAGGGATGGTGAATTTGTTGTCAAATAAAATGCAGAAATAAAATTGACGAGAGGGAAAGACACACTGGATTTAAAAGAGAAAAAAGGACAGAAAGTAGTTCACAGCTAACTTTCAGAGTTTGACCGGTAGTAGTGAACATTTATCATATTGTTAAACAGGCATTTAGACTTGGAAAAAAACTTGACTTTAACTTTTTGCAGCAAGTTTTCTTTGCACCTACAGTGCTATTACAGGAACTTCATAGCATTCAATGCATTTGAGACAGGGGGCAAGGTGCATTTTCATCAAACTTATGGGGAAGTGTTTCTTTGCCAACAACAAACTCTTTACTTCCAGGTTTAATGATGCATCTGTTTTCTTCTGAAGTTGTTGAGGCATTTGCATTTAAATAATGGGGCTGCCAGCTATTTAATTTGACAGCAATGTTTGGGCCATTGATTCAGAAATGTAGTTTCAATAGGATTGCCAACAATCAATTTTCATTACTTGCTTTTTAATAAACCCCAAAATTTGTCAAAGGAATGACTCTGCTTATTTATATTTCTACCTAATGATTGAAATAGTTAGCTGCATTTTCCTTCATGAAATTCTCCAGTATTTATTCAATACACATGTATTCATAAACTGTTTATCTCATCCCACTTGTTTGTGTGTTTTAGCACTGATTCACTCCAAATCTAACTAGGATCAAAATCAACAGAGACTCAAGAAAAATGAAGCACAATCAAATGTCAGAACGCTCATTCTTCAAATTTTTGAACTAAATTATTTCATTTCCTTTATGAATAATTGGACATACACTGATGTTCCAATGCCAGTTCAGTGGATTGTACATACTGGTTTGATTTGCCGTTCACTACCGCCTGATTGATTAATCACACAACCTGCTTGTTTGCAAAAATAAAGCCTCTGGTTCTGACCTCATGCAATTAAACAGTAAGTACTGTAATTTTGATGATATCGCCACTGCCAAAAAGTAACGCATCAACGATATATTGGAAGACCCCCTGCTGCTATTCGACATTCATGTAGGATCTCTGACAGTATCCGCTCCCCAGCTAAAAATATTCATTGATAAGGTAAAAACGACCATGTAATCTGACAATACATAAGGTGGAAGGGAGACAGATTAAAGACCCAGTACTGATTTTTTTTTAACATTAAATTGCAAGGCTTGCACATAGAAACACAAAATAAGAGCAGCCCTCTTCCGTGCGGGTGCCATTTCCCTGTGAAGATTTTGATTAAATAATACATGCCTCATATAAAAGCGTCAAAGGCCAACCTTGTACTATGTGATTAGGAGAGATAAGCAGACATTCTTAAAGCTGTGATTATTGTAATTAGCTCGCAGTGTCAATTGAGTTCAAACGATGACACTTGTAAAGTGTTACCAAGGCATTTATTATCCTTATAAACAGTTATGCCTCCTGCTTCTAATGCAAGAGCCAGACAAGGCTTTTCGTATTATTAAAGAATCCTTTTTTAATGCAAGGATATATTTATTTCATATCATTTTTTCTCATAATGTTTCTTCAGTTTTAATAGGGCCTGAAAGGACTCGCCCCAACCTGTTTGCAAGACTGATATTAACCTTAATATCTCGCCTACATGTGTGAAATTTAGAAAGCTATTAACAACAATAAGAATGCAATAAAGGCAAAAGTCTGATAAAAGTCAAAAAGTAATGAAAAATATCAGTTCAGTTCCTTACATTTGAGGACACCTAGAAGGTGAAAAGTACTTGCATTTGTTTAGCAGACTAATTCATTAGTTGTTGCAGACAAATCATTATCATTTGGTAGAGCTAAAAGAAGATAGAAATGACTTGTGCTGAAAGTCCAGTTTCATGTCCAACATTTTGGCAGCAAGAAAACTGATGTTGCAGTAGACTTGATATCTGCTCCCACATGATCTATTATAATGATTACACTGAATCCTGAGTTCAGAAACCAAGTTGCAAAATATGTAAGAATATGTTGAACAAGGATGGTTCACACTGTCATGCAATTTTCTCCTTTTAAACTACCAGGTATTGTTCATATTGACTTGGGTTTTTAAATTATTGTTTGCATTTATTCAGTTTCAGGGAAAGAAAAATATCTCATTCCTCTAGTTGGCAGGTCTGTAAGTCATCCTGCCAACTAGTGGGCGGCACGG